TCAGAGTTAAGTGTAAAATAGGTTGAAGAAAAAGGGAAATTAGAAAGTGTGTATTTTGTGGCAGCCGGCAGATTGGACCGGGAGAGGCAGATAGTGTAAGGGTAACAATACGAAAAGTCTGCCCCCTTAAGCGGATGGCGTTTGGATTAGATCAATTAAGGAAAACGAGAAGAAAGTGTGATCATAGATTATATAATTAACAGATGAGTTAATTGATAGTAGTACGAATGATTGGCTTTTGATATATACCGCGGCGGAGTCAGGAGAAGATGGCTGTGGTAACGTTTCGTCCTGTAAAATTGAACCACAATAGCGGATCGAGTCATCATCATCCCTCCAACTGGTGACATCGAAAGGGTAAACATCACACCTTTCGTTGGTAATCAAGTAAAATCTGCTGCAATGTGCCCGGCAAAATCAGATACATTAATGTTACACGTCGTTATGTGCTTACGGCTAGAACTTTTTTACCTAGCCGTTTTCTAACCGTTGTGTTGTCACCATAGATAACAGTGTGCCGTCGTGTACCAAAATGTACTAACAATAAATGTAACTAGAAGTTGAACTAAGTACCGGTAATTATTACCCCTAACGTACGTTGTTCTGTGCTACGCTTGCAAGAGCCAGGATAAATGGCTAGTCCGGTATAGAAATCTCGGCTTAAATAGCTCGGCTTAAAATTGGAAAACGTATTAGTGGTTACCTTAGCATAAGTAAACGACCTTAGCGTACATCCAGGTAAACCATAGGTAGTGGTCCTCGCGGTTGCAGATCGATCCTCGTCAATAAACAGACAGCTATGTCAGATGAGCTCGATCCCGACTACTGCGTTGCACGTACGCAGTCAGAGTAAGCCTAGTCCCTCTAATGTCTAAATCCCTCCCCGTAATGGAAGAACAAGGCAACTGAAATAGGACCTCCATAACGTGCTCGATTGATAGCACAAGACGTGCGCCATCATCCAAGCAAGAGCTACGACGTGCTGAATCTCGGACCGATCGACCAATCACTAGTACACAGTATATGCACGTATATATATATATATATATATATATATATATATATATACGTAAGTTTGAGGCATAGGTTATATAGATTGCATTTCATTCCAACATCAGGCGCAGCACATAATGCATATATCTATAAGTTACCTATAAGCGGTATTAGACCCATGTACGTATTAGAAGTACGTAAACAGTATCTACTATGCTGCTATTTTTTATATGCGTAGGCTGTCTTCTGTTGAGGTGACTAAGTACACAAGACGACGTAGGTGACTAAATTTAGATAAGAAAGTTGCCTATAATCTACGATCGTATATCATCACACCACTGTGCACTGGATATTCATTGATTTGGCATTTCCACTCGAGCATAACTAACCATTAGAGCTAGCCAGTTATTAGGTAAGCTCTTTGTTCTCATATCTTAATCATCTCAGAGAGGTCGTAGTCAATCAGCTAATTGGCCATCGCATCAGTTCGGGCAATGCAACGCAGACGACTGCGGCTCCAAGCAAAGTTACGTAGCAGCCATTCATCATTGACATCGCAGCCAGCTTTGCAAACAATAGTCACCTTAGTAGTAATAGAATACTAATTATCATATGGAATGATAGGTGTGACAGTGAGCGCCTATAGACACTGACGAGGTAAGACATGTGCTGAGCACCTACATTTTGTTTACTCGGATAGGTCTGTTTAGGTGAGTCCGTACATGACGCTCGCGAGTTGCGGGAGACTACGGAGGAGACACGTGAAAAGGAAAGTAATTCGGTTCCCGTCGTTGCCTATACGGGCTGTACGCGGACGCTTTTGTTGCCTACATTTTGGAAACAAATAGATCTGTGAACAATGGCGAAGGCCAGCTATTGCTGCAAGTACGTCAGATTTTTAATTGCGAACGACTTCATTACATTTCTATATATTTTCTGCAGTCAGTTCTTTAAGCAGAGGTACGACGAGCTAGATTGTTTAGACAATAACTTCCACAGTCTTATTTGTTCCGCACCATATAAAAGAGAAATAAGCCTTTCCACGTTAATGGATTTTGAACTGGGATCGAACGTCTTCCGCCGTGATTGAGTGAGCATTCAGAATGTACGCCACCTTTCGCGCCCGTTTTATCAAACTCTTATGTTATACATTAGCATCTATTGCAAATGCAAATTATTTCTATGCAATTATATACCTAGCTGTAACACACAGGCAAAAAGGTTCGGCATCCTTACGCATACTAAGGAAACACGCGTTTCCTTGATTGGACAGCGTCGCGAACCTACATGTGCTTTTCGTAGTTTTTCTCGTGACACTTAGACGAAAAAAGAGGAGGATATCCAAATTTTCAATGCGTGCACGTTATCGGTTCACAAGTATCGCCAGTTTCATTCCCTAACACGAACAGGAAAACACATACGTCACGATCATTCTAATTCATTCAGACTTCGTCCAGCACGCACTGGCAACGAATCACTTATTATCATCACGAATCAGTACGCGCATACATATAGAAAGACGCAATGGCAGCGACCTGCAACTTCAGGTACCACATCACAGCAGCCGTCACTGGTCAGACAAATGATAGTCAGTATCAGCCAAGCGAGCTAAGACGATCCAACCTAATCAATCAATAGTCACGAACGTTTTGTTAAGAGCGATACGGCCAGTGTTCAGCCAGGCCTATGTTAGCAATGCATGATTTGTCGAACATGGGATCGTCGACTGGTCACACTTTTCTCATCATAAGTCACGAACGTTCTCATCTGTCGAGAGCTGTTGCTCCGGCCAGCGACAGTTTGTCTGGACACTAGCACGCTTCACGCCATTCAATATGAGCTATTTGTTTCATGGAGAACAACACTAGGAACATCATAACACGGACCACGAACAATTGCAGCATTGAGTCAGCCTGTTTCATTCGCCAATAACCAGACAATATAGCAATCATAACTGGACTAATAGTCATAATAAAAATATCGATCATAAGCCATTTCGACACTGCTGTCGCACTCTGCTAGACTAGATTGTATAAAGATGAATGATAATAATAAATAAACAAAAAATAATTACGAACTCCAAGCGATTATGCTGCGCATACTCGACGTTCGAATACACGGCCTGGGCTAGTAATGCGTAGAACATTCGTGAAGTTCAGTAGATTTTTTTTCGAAGCCTAAAAATAGAATAGTGCCACAACGAGCTTCGCTACACTACGATCGACTCATTGGCTTGTTGTCGATAGCTACTCAACCTATTTTGTCGGATATACACTATAGCCTACTATACATTTTTCTGTAGAGGTACGACTTCGCCTCAGAAGATGGTGCCAATCGAATGCGTTACACTGATATGCAGCCAGCATAAAACACATTGTTTATCAATGGCTTACTTACCGCGCCTAATGCACCAGGAATCTGCCCGAATCTGGTGCCTTTCCAATTTTCTAAAATAAGCAGACCGCCGTATATCTTGCCTACTGTGAGTTTTCCAGTACGCAGCTCTGAAAAGCAAAATAGATCCTCTCGATTAAGTCGTTCTCGTGTAAATTCAAGGCAAAAGCTAATAGGACGGTGAGCGGCGTAGTTTCTCGACAGACCTTGCACAAAAGTCCGATGAAAACTTTAAATATTTGCGAGTCCTTAAGCAAATGCCAAGTTGGAGCGCCGAAAAGTTCTTTGCTAGATCAGTTTGTCTCCGCTATTTCATTGCAGTGTCTTCAGGTGTGAAGGTGATTCATGTTTAGCTTGCGCCCAGGTCTGCGGTACAACTTAACAGCTGTTCGAGGCACCATGGCAAGTAGCGAAACCTGCATATATCTAATATTTCAACTTCTCGGACAGATATATATTGAAGCTATTTTAGATGTCGCCTCTAAAGTTGCACGTCTCTACAATAATGTTATAACTAAACTAAACTGAAAAAATAGCTAACGAAGGTAAAATTCGTAATTTAATTGCCCCAGTCAAAAGGTTGGTCTCTTTTGTACTTTAACAGAATGCGTATGTATTGTTTTTCCGAACTTCCATGGCAAAAATAAATGTACCTATTTAAATAGACTCATTTTAATATCTTTATATCCGACTTTATGACCCGCGCGCATAATCAGATTACCTAACTATGAAAGCAGACGCTGAAATGATTTCTTGTCCAACTATCGTAAAAACGGTAATTTGTAACCTACTTGTAGTACAAATAGCCCACTTACCCGAGTCAGGGGGAATAAACTTGTCGGTCACCTTCTTGGCCTGCAGGGGCCACAGCTTCTGGATGGTCACCCTGAGCTCCTTATCGGCTTGGTCCATCTCTTCGGCCGGTCGCATTTTGATTGACAGGTTTTCACGGATCAACGCAAACAGCGTTGAGGTAAAGTTGACCTTGCCATCCTCCGTTAGCGGCATATTCATCCGAATAAGTTTTTTGTATGCAAGGCGGTACGGACATTTGTTTCCAAAACCAAGTGGTGGGTCCATATTCCGTAGCATATCATACATTTCACCGTAGTGAATGTAACCCCTGTAAGATGGCAGACACCGATAAGTACGTCTTAATTCTGAAGAAAATCTTAGGTATTCTTCAAGTATAAACCGCTTCTTTCTTCACTCCGTCCTAGTTAATTAACAAGAAATCACCCAGAGGCAGCAATCATCTCGTAATGAAAACCGGTCTAACATCGCCTCAGGGATGCTGAGATGTAGAAAAATACTCATCGTATCGTTATATGTGTAGCCAGGTCTAACAGCGAATAAAATGTTTGACGAAATGGGCTCAGAATCTTGGAAAATAAGTTGGTGAAACAGAAGCTCCGTATATGAAGGCAGTTACAACTTGTGTGATCGTATTAATAATCGGAGTAGATCATAGCAATAATCAGGTGACCGAAATACTAGCACCGAATGGGAGAACTTTGCAGCTTTGTCGGATCAATCAGAAATCAGTGCTGTCAATCAATGCAATAGATGAACGGAAGGACAAACGCTAGTTCTTACGTGGCATTTGGATCGTACTCGGCCCACACTCGAATGAACTCGTCGAGGTGATGGGCTCCGAGAATAGACGAGTCTCTTGTCAAGTAATCGAAGTTGTCCATGATCACAGCCACGAATAGATTCAGCATCTGCAACAATCGTAAATTTTTAGCACCATATTCTATAGATTGCATTCATATGACTTGGCCTCGCGGCCACATTTTACCAAACCACCTAGGCCTCACAGCTCACTACGTCTCACCTGATAGGGTAGCCACTCAGAAGAAAGGTAAAATCTTTCTAAGGCCGATAAAACATGTTTCCTCGCTGTTAACCCTATCGAATACAAGTTTGCGCTGGGAAGATTATATGAAAAGAACCTAAGTGTATTAGAAATGCTCTATGGAAATCATTTGCTTATCCAAGGGATAATACATTCAGCTTTGTTCATGAACCCTTCTTACATGTACAGTTATACAAGCTGAATACTGACTTGTATTTTTTTAATTTATCTCGAGAACGATGAGATTCACGAAAATATATGTATATATATATATATGGCATCTAGCAGTATAATGAGATTTCTCTCAAAAACTACTGATTTTCGGGTCCCTTCACAAACGCCTTCGTTCTTTATGAAACGGGAACTTTTTCTCTTAAATTCATGTTTTTCGACTAAAACAAAGTTTTTGGTTTGGCCTTTGACCGATGTTTGATTATCCTAAACTTTATTTATTATAATTATAATGCTTTCACCGTGCACTACGCTGTATTCGATAAAGTAAATTCAATGCAAAATACGTATAAATATATACCTATCTCAATTATCTCCTTATGGTTAGAAAATACTATTTAAGAATTTAATTTCTAACCGTTTTTTACGAGCTAAAGAACGCTGTAACGATTTCAGCCAAATATAAAGTAAATTCTCGATGATTAAGGTATTCTCAAAAAATATCAGGCTTTTGAGGAAATTTAAAGAGCTTTAAATTTTGAATTTTTAAATAATTTTTCATAGAAAAAAACATATTCTCGTAACAAAAACTAAGTAGAATAGGCAAACATTTTCATATACATCGTTAAAGTTTATTAGTTGACCGTGACAAAAGCTACCGATTACGGATATCGCAAATGTTCGACAGTGAATTCACTCAGTGATCAAATCTGATCAACTAGGGCTGAAGGATACCAATCCGCTCCAAACAAGTTGGCGAAACTTGAGGGAGATAGAGGTGGAAGACTATTTTGCTAATAGCTTTATGCAAATGCGATCGCTTTAGACATCGGTATCTGTGTTCGGTATCTATCTGGTATCGGTAAGACTGCATTAGTAGAGATTGCCGATAAATAAAGTTCTTACATATCCTCGTGAAGCACATCGCAATGGAGACGATTGCGAGGGACTGTTTCTTCATTCATCCCAAACATTCGTACCTCTATAGATTTTTTACATCGGTAAATCTAGTTACAGATTGTTTGATGTACAATAAAGTACATTTTACTTTACTAAGTAGTTGCTATAGTCTAACACTTTCTCTGCTAACCGTTGTAGAAATCCGTAGATACATACCAAAAACGAGCAAAAAAAAATAAACGATACGAAGTAGGCGTAAGCGAGATTCGATCCACAGTCGTTGGTCGTTTTCCGACTTTGCGGGTCGCATGGACGTCCTTTAATGCATGCCAGCATGATACCCTGCCATGCTTCGCCCGTAGCGCATCTGTTTAGAATGGGTTTACCAAGAACCGCGATTAAGGTGGATTGTACCGTAGCGATGGGTGAATGAGTGGTCGATGAGTGCGAGTCATCCAACATACACGTTAAGTAACGATTGATATAACGAAATCATTCATTAGTATACTACACGGATGAGAATATGAATAGGGAAGATGTAAGCTTTATCGAACGAATGAATCCATAAACCTGCACAGGAGTATTCGGTATTGAGGCACAATAATACGAGCAGTTGAACAGAGGGAGTACAATGACGGGAATAATTTCCACTACGTATTTTCAGTTAATTGAGTAGAAGATTACCTGAGAAAATTCTGCATTTTTCACATATCGTACCCATTTTGATTTCAGTTCGTATATGTGTGTGTGTGTGTGTGTGTGTGTGTGTGTGTGTGTGTGTGTGTGTGTGTGTGTGTGTGTGTGTGTGTGTGTGTGTGTGTGTGTGTGTGTGTGTGTGTGTTGGTGTGTGTGGGTGTGTGTGTGTGTGTGTATCTAGGTGGAAGCGACTGGTACCGATAGCACAATACACTAACGCCCAACTAATCGCATATTAAAATGATTTGAGACGGGGGCATGAAACGTTGAGGTGGTCCAAATTGGTAACTTGCCTGAATAACAACATGAGTCCTTGAAAAAAGTTCCGGAAGTTATTATGCCGTGTAATTTGGGAGTCGGATGCTAGCTGGATGTTACCGAAAACCTATGAAAGACGAGGGAAGAAATCATGTTACGATTGTGGTCTGCACTATTTTGACCACATTGAGGTATCACTGGAAACTGAGCTCTACTATGATACAGGCAATTAACGCTTAATACGGGCGTGAAACAGAAACTGATAGTTTGTAGAGATCTTTTGAGCCAGCAATCACTGTGTAAATGTACCATTGCAGGACTTTTAGCCGAAAAGAGAACTATCCGTGAAACGGATTCTGTCAGCAATGTCTATCCTCTTTGCGGCTTCAGTATAGGTAAAAAGTGTCGATAGATATAAAACTAGAATGAAGATAAAAACAAGCTCCATTATAACTTGTGCAAAGTGGCAAAGAAATAGCATAAGTAAAGGCTGTATTTCCCACTAATATAGTAGATAGTGAATCTGTAAAAATACCTATGCAAAGCTCGCCAAATTATTAGATTCCAATAGAGGGACCTTCATATAGGCAGCTTTAGACTGCTTGCATTCATAGCGTAATTTGGACATAAGCACAACAATTTCATAATAGATAGGTTACTTCCTGATATCTAGCACAAACCTGCACGCGCTGTGTACATGTAGATATAAAAAGTAATACATGGAGCTATAGTTTACTGTAATCAACAGCTACCTAGGGTCGTATTTTTTTTTTACTTATGTCTGATCTAATGAGAAACGCTGAAAATAATGCTACTAAGGACAACTGGTCGTTTTTCAGTCGCAGGTAACTCCTTTAACAAACAGCTTAATTTCTATCATGCAAGTTATATATAGGACTGGAAGTTGTCATCGTTCGCTTTAGGGAGATTTCCTGTTTCAATATTGCGGCAGAATGTATCCACGGTAAGGAAACATCTCTTGCCGACGCCTGACCTCAGAGGTCGTGCTGAATGTAATGTATTCAGACTCTTCTCACGACAGGCAACACTGAACGGTCAGACGAAGCGTTTTTATGATTCACTTAAATAGTAACACCAATAAGAAATAGGTTCTAAGAGTTGTTGCGTCAATCTAGTTTCATCAGGTTCCAGAATACTGAAGACCTAAGGGTGCTACACGCACGTCCGTATTCAGCTCAAACATACCTGGGCGAATTTAAAGCTATCTAGTATAAAGTGAAGTTAATCTAATAACAAAAATGGATGTAGATGCTCGGCATAGCTTCGTCGCTGTGTCAGGATAGGGTTAATGGGTTATGATATCATGCATAAGATGGATATAATAACACTTACTTGCATGCCGATGATGGCATAGATGAAGAATAACATTGCAATCAGTAGGCACACATATGGTAGAGCCTGAAATAAAAGTTGATGCGTTTCTTTATGACGTCAGGCATGTTTGTATGTTACCATTATAAGTCTTGTTGCTAGTGTCTTCAAAAAAATATATATGGCCTCATTGGTAGAAGACGCCCATATAGGGCCGATGGACCGGCGTCCGGATAAGCATTCAAATCCTCTTGCTAAGCTTCCGATGCTATGTCTGGCCGCATAATAGAACAACGGAAATACAATCGCCCGATTTTTTTATTCCTCACTTTCCTTGTCGATAGGAACTAGTCATGACGCTTGATCAGGCGGCTATTTCTAGTACGTTATTAGCGATCTGAAAAAGATTATCGGAGCTTACCTTAAAAGATTGTATAAAGGTCCACAGTAGAATCCGAATAGTGTATCCCTGTCTCAAAAGCTTGATGAGACGGGCTGCTCGGAACAAGCGGAGGAATCCTACGTTGAAGAAGCTAATCTGCAAATGTCGGGTTCATCATTAGAGAAGCCACCCAGGCAATCCGTTCAGAGTTCGGTGACTTGATTCGTGCGGTCGCATTTGTTTTGTTCTGTGTGACGAGCACCCATGCGACAACGCTGCCGGATGATACGAGATATGGATGTACACTACCGGTGGATCTACTAGTAAGATTGATTGGTAAGGGTGACAATGGTCAGAGAGGTTTATTGTACTCTGACTTTCTAAAACCATGTCATTGGATCGAAACGAAATGTGCTTGGATGGATCTATGGATAACTTCATATTGAATTGATTGAAGTAGCAGATTTCTGCGAAGTGCAAAGTTGCCAGTGTTTTATTTAGTACGCCATATTTTTGTAGGAGAAAAGTGCTGACACAGTTTGAACAAGGTGGTAGCTTACGGTACAAGGTGGTACGCAAAATATTTGTGTTTAGTGAACGGTTTTCTATATTCGTTTTTGGCTTTGCATATTTAAATGGTTTCTGCGACCGTCCCTAATGACCACTCTACGAATCCTTGCTATATGTTTAGCTGTCTTTCTTTGTTGAAAAAAGGATCTGCGCTTGCGGCTACTTTGTTTTTATAGTATTTGCAACTGAATATACGTTCAATCCTGTTGGTCGAGTTAGAAAATTTAGTTGTGTGATGACAAAACTGGGGCCCCTAGAGACCATCAGAGATAAAGCCAATATATCAATGTAAACACGGGTTCGGGAAAGTTGAATCGAACTGAAACAAATTGACGGGCTACTGTGGGAAAGATCTGCGGAAAGGAGAAGGGGGATAATCATCGGCAGAAAAGTAGCGTCCTCGGTAGATTCAAACATTTTTGAGGCTTACGCCGAAGGTGTAACGGCCAAACAGAATAGGGCTCTAATTATTACTAAAACGGTTAGATGTACGTAAGTGCTGTCACATGGGATAGATTGAAGGCGTCCGAAACTACCTAGCAATCTTCGTGAGTATTTCTACTAAAATTGATTCAACTGGGCTTAATAGCATTTATTTTTATCTACATATGACAGGGTGTAGAAGGTCGTCTGTGTTCGCATAGTTTGGTCATATCTGACAAACTATGCTTAACTGTTCCTTGCCTCAGAAGGGTTATATCGTTGGCTGTATAGCTAAAAACGTATCTCATATGTGCACAAATTGTTTGTTTATGTTTGGGTTTTGAAACAAGATACATTATAGACATCTTGTGGTGTAGAATCGCTTGACCTTCTCGAACTTAATGGAAAAAAATGGCGTAAAAAAATCATATTGTTAATGTCTGGATAGGTTCGCGTCCTTTGAAGGAAGTTTGTTTGTCTCGCATCGCATGTTCATGCAAAGTGAAAGAGCTGTGTGCCATTATATTCGTGGCTTTTCAGCGAAGATAAATAACATTTTTTCCTGCTTCAGGTGAAATGGTGCGCGTGTTTGTAAGAACAGCGTCGACAACGACCGACTAAGCGTCATATTGATATTGTCACATGACGCTTGTTCCGACAACCACCCACGAACGCGTAACTGTATAAATGTATGGGTCTCAATCGAAAATTAAATTTTTTATTGCAAAATATTTATTACAAAATCAAACACAGATTGGCCATTCTGTAACTAGTTCTTGTAAGGCCGTCAAAAAGGCCTTCATATATCTAATAATAAGACGTCTAAATGACTAATCGTAAGTGGGTCCTCAAAATGCCATACACCCCAAATCAGCCCAAGGGTGGTCGTGATTACCAGCATAATACCCAGATGCTACGGCACTCGTAAAACCATTTATACATTATGAACAAATGAAAACCGAACGGATGCACAGTGAGATAACATTGAAACAAGTCACCAGAGCCGGCAAAATTCTAACATTCGTGATTTGACAATTGCGACACTGAGTAGAATCGAAGGAGCATCGGATCAGAACAATAAATCTACCGTGACTGGAAAAATAGGATAAAACCTTTCCTTTAGGCAGGTTCGAAATTAGAAAGTAGGAACAAAGCATGTAATATCGTTTTTAAAAAACGATCAGTCTAAAGAGTTCAACGCATAGGGTGTGATCTCATTCCAACGCGCAATCTATTTTGCTCTGTGACATATGTCATAAATATATATATATATATAGGTCTGACTAGATACTTGGTGCTTGTTTGGCACTGCGTTTGGATAGACGTTGAAAACAGAGTTGACTTGAGACATTGCTGTGATATGAATGTTGCGGTGTGTAACAAACGTCCGATTCGAACAAAATGATATTTATGATTAAAAAAAGAAAGAATAAGGAACGTCGTTGTCTTACTTTTGCTCCACTAATGCTCTGCTGCGGAAAATTAAAGAAGGCACTTAGTCATAATTCAAATAATATCTGTGGGCGCACTGGGCTACTGCCTATGACTGTACAGTGTCACCATAATGGCTATGTATACATGTACACCATGATTACAAAAGCAGCGCTTAAGTCGACATGAGCGATCGACTAGGCAAAAATTTCATATTGGACGCGACTATTACTCTGGCTAAGAACCGTCAATGAATTGCATCGGATCCATGGCTGCGGTTTCCAGTGCTGCTTAGATTTAATAGTCATAACAGTATGCCATTTTTATTGGTCCCCGTCGACAGTTATAGTAAGTATAGATTTTACTTAACGTTTGTTATCGTCTATAGTCGTTAATGCTAATTATCCCTTTATGATGGGATTATGAGTCGTATGCTCAACTCTGCGAGCCAATCGTTGGTTTCTATCTACAGTATCCCTTCGCATAATGCGATGGTTTCACCTGAGCTGCCACAGGATAGACTCATCTTGCCATTACAGACGCATTATAAAAGTAAGAAAAATTATACATACACAAAGGAGTTTTATAGGCAGGCTACTGCTGTACACGGGCCAGAAGTTGGTCTCTGCGGACTAGGCGGCGAGTAATCACGGCCCGGATTAGAGTTAGATGAGGATTTCTAAGGGTTGTTGGGTTTCACAAAGCAGGACTTCAGGAGAGATAGAATAACAGCTTCTCGGCAGCAGGTTTGCTGAACAGTTATACGGGAAAGAGGGGACTAGGCCAAGGAACGCATCCAACGCATGAACGAACTATTATCAATTTGCCAACAATTTTCATTTTCACAAGACACTCAAAAGGTCGAACGATTGCAGGCGTTGATAGTCACGAAACCCGCTGTGGTCCACTGGGAGGAAAGTTCGGTATGACAGAAAGAACAAGTATAAAAAGCCGTTCACATCTATCTCAATGGTAAGCCTACATTTGTCAGGACAGCACTTGCCATTCGGTAAAATCAGTTTCAAGGATACTCTGATGTTTTACGGGACCATTTGGTACTTTTTACATTTTTTTTTTTAAAACAAAAATTCATTGAAGCTTCAAACCAGAAATAATCGGAATGGATGACCTAGTTAGTTGAATAAGGTGAAATTAAGTACTGCACTCCGATGCGCCAATAGCATTATAGGATTGATACTGGCTGTAGCAATTCGGTAGAAAATTGGGTTTAAGATAAAGACGTCTTGCCAAATAAATAAGAGATGTATTGGTAAGACAATATAGAAGGCATAAGCGCACATATAAAGCTGTTACGGACCCTATCTCTAGCCTGGTCCTCGAACGCAGGCTGCAGACAGAAATTTATATAGACGTGTTTTACTCACCCCATATTCGACTACTAGCACATCAATAATCGAGCCTATTACGGTTATCGAGTCGAAGGTGTTCCACGAATCCTTGAAGAAATTCTGCAAATACATTAGATCCAGTCAGCTTATGGTACTGGTGCATATGAAAGGCCCACGTCGAGATTGTTATGACACGTTATTATTCCCTTGTAACTCATGTGGTTATTAGTTTAGAACTTGACTGGAACAAGAAGGTCGATAAAGCTTTTCGCTACCAAATGGCCACTCGAGGCCCCTTTTTAATCTAATCTACCCTATAAATGTTAACATGTAATAGTCGGCCAATACTTTTTGTCAATTATTAAATTGAGCAAGGCAATGTTCGCACCTCGACGAAGGCCTGGGGCTCGTAGATGTGCGGGACAGTGTTTAGACGTACATGTATGAACATATATATATATACGATTCTGTTCTTGAGAGCACATGTATATTGTTCCTCGTGTATTTTCTTGAAAATAGTCTGCCATCGTGTAATAATGTTCTTTAATTAACATTGAAGGCATCAGTGATTAAGCGCTTAGTTGACTTTCAGAAAGCATCAGCCGCCGATGATGAGAGACTCTTTTATATATGGGAGAGTTGCTTTTGGCCTCTGCTGGAACTCAACATTCAACAATTAAAACAATTAAATGCACTATTGTATCATCTAATTCTATTACCTTATCGGGTTCGTCTAACAAATTTATGTAAATACGTAAAGTCCTACTAAGATTTAGCTATTAGCACATAGCCGCGACACATTTGAATCTACATAAATAGAAATTACGTGATAAGTAAGCTATATAGATTACGAGAGTCCACGGTAAGCAATGTATTTTTATATGTCATTTAGCTAGTTTATTACGATTACTGTCCTTATTTAATGAAGGCCCATTTCAGCTGAATCTACTATTTAGCGTGGGATGTCTACTATACCGTTGATTGTTGATTATTATCCGTAAGTTTTTCGCCGATTGCGTGTTCTATGCTATATTTTAGATATGATTTTATTTGGGTAGGCTTGAATAGCTCTCAACAAGCAATTAATTGTGTTAGGTCAAAGTGGCCCACCTCACATCTAAGGTGGGTATTTGTCAACTAATACTACAGTAGCTGCTTTTTTTTTCTTTTCACCTATAAGGTTCTTTCGCAGCAAATTCTCTGTTGGAAAATCCTAAAATATTCTGTGAAGAGAAAAACTTCCTTGTTTGACAGACCCCCATTGATACTTCGTAATCCGTTAGATGCCTCTTGGGAATTTGAGCTAGTAGTTTGAAGACACCCACTTATTCAAGCAATGTAATCAATTAGACAATCTCATCCTATTGTAAAGCCATCTTCGGTTGGTGAACTATCTATTAAATGCTTTTGTGTATTTTATCTTATTATGTTGATATACCTAATGGGGTTTGTTTGTTTGTAGATAAAGCAAACCTTGTATCCAAAGGCGACAAATTTCAGTATACACTCAAGGAGGAACATCAATGTGAAGGCGGAATTTAATGCATCACAGATGTTAGAGAAAAGCTCGCCAGCCTTGTGGAACTACCGTCGTAGACGAAAAGCAGATTTAATAAACGGGACCAGGTCCCAAAATGTGTTTTTTCAGGAAGTTTTTGTCGTCGCGCATGTGACATATATAATAGTGGCAAATTAGAGGAATAAGATAGATATATAATAAACGGAGAAAGACAATAGTGCTTATTTAGATGGAGTTAACGTCAAGTTGAAGAACATGAATGAAAAGACATTGGGTAAAATCAGCAAAACATTGATTCGATAAATATGTCGATGCAGGAAGGATTTTAGCATGTAGAAAGGGGCTCCCCAATACACGACGATCAGATAGAATTGCATACGGATTGTGCATACACACAATTGTGTGTGTGGGTTAATATTAGTAGAAAAAAATCAGTTGTAGTTGCAATAATATGGTCATTCGTTGATTGTACGGAAGATACACAAAAAAGAAAAATCGATTTACGGAATAAATATAGCAAGATGGAGTGAAAGCAATCGTTTGAAGAAGTCGAAGCAGACAAAGTTGTAGATCACCGTCGATTAATATAGGTTGTTGTTGTTGTTGTTGTTGTTATTATTATTGTTGTTGTTGTTGTTGTTGTTGTTGTCATTTTGTTCGTCGATCCGATACCATACCATGATGATCGACGATGAGAGAATGATGCGGCCAGTTGGCGAATGGGTCGCCATCAGCGTTGATTGACGAGAGCAGGCGAAAATAGAAAAATGATTCAGTTGACATGACTTTTTCGTGATTTGTTTTTTTTTAATATGTTTTTGTTCTTAATTTACTTACAAACCGAAATGAATGATTTGAGGATATATCAAACATCCCCGAGCACGTAAGACATTGCAATCAACGCACACCACGGCGGTGGAGCCACGGTTGGGTGCGGGATTTACCGTAGCGGAAATACGATCGACGAAAGATTTTATCAATCCCGCGATCAGGTGCTCTCGAATGTGGAGCGCCTACCCAGAGTGCACCACTGCCGGTACTATATAGAGTATATGATATGTATAAATGAAGGGAAAAGGGATTTGCCATGGAGTTTAGTTCACTCCAGTTCAATTCAACGCAAGTCACTCAACGACGGCAAGACCGCTGGCATATTACAAAGAAAAATCATACGAGCAGATATGTACTTGGCCTCAGAGCTGCCGAGCCTTGAGGTGTCTTGGCAGAGCGGGGCCACCGCAGCTGCGACCAATCAATCAGTCAATCACCGATCAATACTCAACCAGTTTTTCCAACCACACAAAATCGATTCGAAAATGCAACAGTGCTCGTATGGTAACCGCTCGCCTGTTTGTTTGCTAGCTTAGTTATCAATCACCGTTCTCAGCCGTGTTCTCATTTTCCTTTATCACTATTAGCCGTTGTTTCATAATAACCATATTGAAAAGAGAAGATATGTGAGAAATGATGCCTGTCTTTTCCAGTGCCATAAGGGCTTCATGCTTCTCGCACTTCGGAAGACTATCGAGCGAACGCTCAAGCTGGATCGTGGAAATGGTAATCGTTTCTTTTGTTAATTCCTACCTAATTTTATAAAATCATAATGTACATAATTACCCTTGATACAGGCAAATGACGGTGCGATCTAGTCGAGGAGCATGTGTATTTATTATTATTATTAAAGTTATTAATCATATAAAAAAAAAACGGTTTTTAAGAACTGTTGGCTGAAGCTGTCATTGATTGGAGACGCTTGGATAGTTTCCGAAGAGCGAGGAAAGATGGCTGGTTATAGCCAAGCTTGGTATCCTCGAAAGCTGCCGAACAGATGACAAGACGATGGTCTCGTATAACGACATTCTGATAATAATGGCGACACCGTAAATGATTAGCCTTAAACTGAAAACTTCTCATTGATATCTGTGCAAGTCCAAAGCACATCTTATTGAGTAACTTCCCGATCTATGCTTTCTCTAGATGAATCTTATGATGGTGCCAAGCAGATGGAAAAATTCGTTTCCATAATAAAAAAATACAATGGGTTTTAGTGTTTGAAACTATACATTCCCTTTAAACTGCAGTAGATAATGAGAAAAAAAATGATGAAGAGGCGTAAGATGTACACAGGAAATAGCCACATGGGTTAGCAGAGAGCGTGACTCTCGTGAGAACGCGAGGCCTTCTACAACAATTCAGTGAAAACCGATCAGAACAAAATATAACGAATGAGCAAAAAATCTAGACAGATAGTCAACCTGCACGGTGCGTGACGTATGCTATTAGCCTGCTTTTTTGTTACAGAAATGGTAAAAGTTTCCTCTTTAATGAGGACCTTTGAGCTCACCGTCTTGTACTCATCTTAATCCATATTTTTAACTTTATTTATCTTTCGCTTGATTTAGATAATCTTGGAGCGCGCTAACCGGACTAATGGCTGCAGGACTGCAAGGAAAAAAAATGTAAAATGCATGCAAACTTCACGCAAAGTGCAAACGGAATCTAAGTACTCGGGGAAAGCACAAATCAATCTAGAAATAACCAAAGCTGCCTCAGAAATCAAATCGTGGTAGCACTCATCAGTCTTCAATGAAAATTTTTGTCGCATAATATCTATTTACGTATATCATTTTACGTTCGAAGGTTAATTCATCAGTTCAGGAAGGTAGCAGGACGCGCTGCTCACTGTTATCAATAAGTCACAACCTTGAATCTACAGTCAGCGGCGTTAGTCACTTCTAATGGTTTTAATGCACAAAGCACTATCATAAGTAGATGATTTGTCGAATTTCGATGATATACAAGGATCGCTAGGAGCAAGCAAAAATGTTTTCTTGGAACTAGGGTACCAGCATGGTGCAGATAATTACAATATTTTTAAAATATATTATATTTTGGAGGGCCCGGAACTGTCAGGAAGAAGGGGAGCTGGGTACCAGAGAAAATGCCCTAAAGCCTTGTCTTTGTTTAGTCAAGCCATCGTCTGCAATGCATTTTGATATTTCTTCGGCAAAAAGTATAGTCGTGTGTTTCCACATGGGAAGCTATAGGCGCTTAATAGCAAATGGTGTTGTCCCTGAAGTGTCGAAAATGGAACTGAAAAGAAGCAGCCTGAGGCCCAGCCTGGAGTGAGCCCCTGTGGGAAACAGAACAAACAGAGCAACAGGTAAACAAAAGAGAGACAGTATGTAACAACAGACCTCGAGAAATATGAACGGATAACTTTCGTACGACACGATGCGTAGCGGGCACAATCGGATGTTTAAAGCATGTAGGACACGTCTGTCATTGAACGTGTCGTAATGTTAGTCATCCTTTCCACAAGGCCAAATCCACAGAATAGCTTAATCTTCTCACACACACGCACACTCACTTCACACATGAAGTTATCAAGTCACATTTACGTGTACAGGTGACCAAGAAAAAGAATAGATATGGATCGATTGTCATTAAAGGGTGTTCGCTAGGTAAATAAATTTAGTGCCATTTGCGCAGACGGCAGAATCAGGAGAACCTGTCATCTCAAAAAATGGTTTGCTGTGATCGGTCCCAGAATAGCTACACGTATCTCTACAGAGGGTTTCGGCACACGCACGCATCCAAAGAAAAGCTAAGCTACACTCGATGAGTATAAACACTGTAGACATTTTTAACGTATGATTATTACTAAGAATTAGTTATTTATTACATACACACAGGCACGAGCGCGAGACATTTTTTTGTGAGCGGCTTGGCATACGAGCATTCATATTCAATTCTGTTGCGGCACGTTACTGAAAAAAGCACAGTCTACGCAATTAGCAGCAAAAGGGTTACACTGATGCTATATTATATATATGTATATATATATACATATATAGACCCAATCGTCACGTTGCGTACATTGATTGTTGTGGCATTACTATGGCGTTATTTCAGAATTTTGAGATGGCAAGGGCTTTTGACAGACTTCTAGATTTTGGCTTCTACCGGATATTTGAATTCAACTGATAGCAGACTTACGTCGATTATGCCATCTATGCTTTGTTTCATCACCATGGAGACAGCAGAGGATGCACACATAAGATTCAAGGTGCCTTTCTGTACCATTCAATCAACGATCGGACCAGTAAAAGCCTTTTCTGTGCTTTGAAAAACCGTCGAGCTTTTAAATTTATCGATTCTAGACAAATCCAAGGTAATCAGTAGCGAAAAAGAGGCACTTACGAGGACCGCTACATATGGTCTAGCTAGATCCTTTTAGTCATCGACGTATTTACTACTCGAAGCGTTAGTAGCTTAGCATATACGACTACCAAGGAAAAACTTCTACCTCATAACAAACGGTATGATACGATAATTATGCCATAACAATGACGCTTCGCTAGCAAGTGAGGCGTTATGTTCTAGGCTGTTGTAATGTGAACAGTCTTCCTGTGTATTTGCTCTTACTATTCTTGGGATGCGGAAGGGAATCTGTATGTGTGATGGGGTGTGATCGAGCCCTTTGTCATAATTACTAGTATTCGTGGGGTATGTCATTATACTTCTGATTCTCGGCTTCGACGCGCTGCGCTTTGGTCGCTCAATAGGCAACGCAAGCGACGAAGCCTCCAACATTTGCGTTACAATAGCTTACCCTTACTCCGAACGCAACCAGCTTTAGAATGGACTCAACCGTGAATAAGCCAGTGAACGTAGCATTTAGGTAATGTAGGACCCTCGTGAGTTGGGGGTGCTGGTTGTGGAACTGTCGGTCGAAGAACGTAGTCCAGCCGAGGGGGCGGTAGAGTCAAATGGGTTCGGTTCAGATTCCGTCGAGAAGAACAAGAAGAAGTAGAAGAGGAAGGTCGTAATGAGCAGCGGCAGAGAACGACGCCATCACGCACAATCGTCATCACGCATCGGCATCACGACAGGTAATGAAAAGCATAACCGATGTTTAACTCAATGAATGGCACGCGCCATTCCAATTCACCACCGCAAAAATGGTTCTGTCCATACCCCAATCGGCTTTCTATAGTTATTGCCATGAATGGGGCATCCCATCGCCAGCTGACGGCTGACATCATCTGGACAACCCACGCCAGAGAAAATTCCACTCTTTGTGGAGTACGTAATCTATGCTCATCAATGCTTTCGTACAATGTGGGCTGAGACGGCTCCGTCGGTATTACTAGTAAAACCGGTTGTCACCACTATCAGTCAATAGATCCGTTAGACAATCAAAAAGATCCACGTGAATCAGCGCCATCATGCCCATTATCATTTTATGAGGGCCTTATGTGTATGATGGCATTGCCTCTAATCAAACCAGAGCAATCAGCGAAGTTGATTGTTGCTTATACTTGTGTTATGCAACTTTTTTTCTGGGCTTTTCAATATTACGAGTCTCTGATTCTAGATATCATTTCTGTTAAAGTTTCGGCACGGCCGTTCTCTGATCTAGTTGCTTAAATATCTAGTAGATACACACATATATATACGTATATATATATATATACACGTATATATATAGTTGCTTGCTGTATAGGATGTAGCTACCCGTTTGTCGCTCGTTCACAAGTAGAGAAAACACTCAGTGAGATATCACTATGGGGTGAGAGGGGCTAAAGGGCACTGAAAGGTGCTACAAAATTGTTTTTAACTTATTTTTTGTTTTTTTTTCTATTGTTCTTGTTGCTGCCGCTGCTTGTAGTTGTTGAAACCACACATACAGGTAGTAGATATAACGAAGTAATAAATGAAGACACTAATAGCTACAGAGAGAGAAAAAGGTATGAAAGATGTAGTCAGCAGGTAAGAGAGGGTCGAAAAATAAAAAGGATTGATTGTACTACAGGGACAATGTCAAATGTAGTATAATTGTTGATGTTAATAATAATAATAGTAAGGGTATACCTGTATTGTGAGAAAGCGGTTGACATGTTATTCGACAATCGTGTTCTTTCGTATGCATGAGAAACGTATTGAATTAGCAATAGTACGACTTTGAAACGATTCTTAGCTCTTTTCTTCGAGTTACGTGAAGTGATCTCAAAATATGTGAAGTATAAATTAGGAGAAGCAGAACATTTGTACTTGAGGCCCTGCTTTTTGTTTGTGATTGTTTGTCGTCAATACGCTGTTACCACAGGGACCTATTGGAACTAAGTTAGTCCGACGGCGATTCATTTGACGAGTCGAAATAGCGTCACAATGCTCGGTTAGCAAAATGAATACGCCGACAGACATGAACGAAGGAGAATGGAAAAGTTAAATAGGAAAAACAAGTCTGCTATTGGACGGCATACGGCGCTTATGGTAAATAACTAGAATACTGTCATATTTTTGCTGCTCAGAACACCACGTCAAATGTTTTGTTCGGCCAAATGTGAGCTCCTTGTCAAGCCGGTAAATTGCCTAAGCAGACGGTCGTGTTTGAGATTGAGACAAAAAACCGGGACGATAAATAGCAAACGGAATTCAACCACTTATTATACAGGCAAGTTCTTTATATACCCAATAATCAATTATTTCTTACTTAATCTGCGTACACTTTCATCACGCCATTTTTAAGTCGGTTTCAAAACAGAGTATGTAGACAGAACGGACTCACTAAGTGCTTTTAGTAATGACCCTGTCCTTAGCGCGACAGTATGCTAGGCACGCCGGCGGACAATGTCCTTAAAGCGGATAATGCCCAAGGTTTGGAGATCATGCGGAACAAGTGCCCAAGATGCCATGCTCATCTCCTACTGTGCATCGAGCTAGGGCATACGTGCACAACGCCGCTAGCTACAGGGCAGGGGGCTGGACTGAGATGTTTATCTAAGGTGCTGCTGTTTTCATTTTGGCGGTGTACTCACTTTCATCATGAGAAGGACGGTATTGAGGACAATCAGGGCTAGGATGAAATATTCGAACGGTGTCGAAACAACAACTTTCCATACTTTATATTTAACGCTGTCCTTGTTCTTAGGCATATACCGTTGTAGAGGCTTTGCCTGAATAGCAAAGTCGATACACGATTTCTGCAGTAAACGGATTAGGAGATGAATAAAGGATCAGGAACATCAACAGCCAGAAGCATCGACAAGAGAAATGCAAAATACGCCGGTTAACGCGCTGACAGCGGCAACAATAACACTTACGGTATTCAAGACTGGGTCTTGATTTAGTGGCAGTGTAAAACTGATGTTAAATCCATTCTGCAGAGTGGTATGAAATAGCAATCTGGATGGTAAAGTGTAATGAGTATTTGCGGTTAAAGATATTACTCTCAATAAGCCACGGCTTCTTGTCCGTAGTCCTGGAAATACTCCCTGATTAAGTTAGCTGTGACATGTTTTGTTCCATGATAATTCACTAGTCGCAATTCGCTAATACCACAATTCGAGTACGGTTGTTTTACGTCAGGACCATACTGTATTTTCTCACCTGGTTCTTATCCAGTTCTCCTTCTTCGAGTTCTTTTTCACCCTGCTCTTGGAACGTGATAATGATCAATGCAACGAATATGTTCACAAAAAAGAACGGAAATACGATGAAAAATACGATATAGAATAGGGACATCTCAATTCGATATCGAGGCACAGGGCCTTTGTCCTCGTCCGTCGAGTCCATCGAGTTTTGTAGTACCTGGCAAACGTCATGCAGTAACGTTAGCATGAATGCGTACGTATGTTGCTGTTTGCTAACGTGAACCAGTTCATAAGTATTTGAAGTTAATTTTCCACTCAAGTTTACAGATTATTATTTTTAGTAAAAGAAGATCGCACTCAGAATAAAAGCCTTCGAAGACTTTTACCATTTATCTGAACGTTAATGTGGTGCGGTTTACTAGATAATGGTTTAGTTCTAATGAACGAGTACAGATAAAAGTCGAAGACCCACTCTGCTCCAGGGATCCATTTGTAGGGTGAAAGGTGTTCTCAGCCTAAAGCAAAACAATCTCCAAGATCTCTCTCCCTAAGATATCCCTTAAGAGATGCTCACCTGTGGCCAACCTTCGCCGGTTTGCACTGTGAACAGTGTTAGCATAGCAGCCGATATGTCATCGTAATGAAAATCCTGTCGTTTCCAGTGGCGTTTCATTACCTTCGGGGGCTTCCGTGCATCGTTATACTGAAAATATTCTCCCCTGTTGCGATGACACAGTAAAGAAGGTTAAATCGAGCAAAAAAGAGTTGTTACTTTTGCTTTTATTTATTTTATATTGCGTACACTAACTACTTTCAAATCTGGGCCCAATTATCATTTGACAAACCAGAGATAATGAGTTACGAAGAATTGTGTGGACGATATTTTTTGCTATTCGGAATTAAATTATGCATTGTTTTATATTTTTTATAACTGTCATACTGGCAAATAGCAAAGAGGTCAAGATTCATCAACAAGGTCCAAACGGATACTCACTGGCAGTCTCGCTCAAAGAGCATTGAGTGGTCCGAGCAGAAGTAGAATTTGCCGTTGAACAGCTGCACGGCGATTACGGCGAAGATGAATTGGAAGAGAATGTACACAATGAGTATATTGAATACGTTTTTTAGTGAAGTCACAACGCAATCGAATACAGCCTTCAGTTTAGGCACTCGTTTAATTGTTTTTAACGGTCGCAAAACTCTCAGGACTCGGAGTGATTTGATCGTACTCAAATTCTGTCCGGTTGAACTCCCGCTGAAAATTCAAACCATTAAACATGTGTCGGAAAATTTTGAAAAAATCTACGATGCAAAGTAAACAGAACTCAGGATTAGCTAGTGACCGAATCGTGCGTGCATGACGATATACATGGATCCCTTAGTTAACTAGATAAAAATATCCATAGGCTGCTATTAGCAAGTAAATTAAAGACTAAAGAACATGTGCATATTACAGTCTGGCTGATGTACTTACGCAAACGCGAATGCAATAAGTGCGCATATGACGACGATAGCATCAAGAATGTTCCACGGGTCTCGACAATACGAGCCCGGATGCAAGATCACCCCCTGGTCCAACACTTTGAGAATCATCTCTACAGTAAATACGCCCGTGAATGCGTAATCAAAATAGTTAAGGATTGTATTCGATGCCGATTCTTCGTCGACTGGGTCTTCGGCCGCAAGGGCAATTGAGCTCATCGAGATCGTTACCATGATGAACAGATCGAAATATCGCAAGTTCACCACAAAGTGAGCCGCTCGCCGTATGCTGAAGGGGGAAAGTAGACACGTAAATCATCGTCATGTATCTGCCGCTTTTACGACGCTTAACTTTCTAGTGACCTAAAGACAACAGTTGTGGTGATATAAGAGCGACATTCCATGTGACCGCTACAAGTCGATTTGTGACAAAAGCAATAGAAACAGATCAGAGTACCAGCATGCCGTGGCTGTACGCAATGCGCCATAAGAAGAGCGAGCCGCTGTAGCATGGCTCGTTCTTTTTGCAACGCAGTGAGAAATTACTTACGGATTTGTCGGGGAACAAATAAACATCGATGAGTAGGGCAGCATCGGCTTTGGGCCACTTGGCTCCTCGTCCTCGTCTTCCTCTAAAATTTATAAATACATAAATAATATAAATAGACCAACATTTACTTAGGCCAGGTACGTTTCTAGTTGCCCAGATGGTCGATTATTATTATTATATTAGTATTTTCTATATAGCTTCGATATAGGTACGAGATATTCTCAACAAACCTAGCGTTACACTAGAGAAGCTTGTCGCGCTCTAAACATTAACAGATTCATTTCGATTGAGTAAGGACTTTTTCATCTATACAAACCATTTTCAATACTCCTGGAAGCCCTGAGGCTCACACTTGAAGCTTCAGCTGATCCATCTTTGTCACTGAAACAGGCAACCGAAGACAGCCGTTAGAAGCAGCTAGATATATATATGTATATGCTCACTGCGCATGGAGTCAAAAAATCAATGAGGAAGGGTATTGTTTCCATAAGCTAGGATTCGATTAGTCAAAAAAATTTCCTAAACCGTCGCGCTTCAGTTTCTTATTTTAGAGCATGGATATGTACAGCTGAATGATTGACATTATCCTCCCGTAACTCCGCAGCTTCGAACTATATAAATCCATATGTTAGGGGGTACAGCTTTATCGGATGTGATCACCCTTGGTAGGGATAATAGACAGATATTCTAGATAAAGGAAAAATGAGTTATTTACAAGCTGAAGTTTTTCGCCTTTGCCGGTGTAGAGGCGGAGTTCTGAGAGGGTGATGGCGGACAAATGTTGACTTGCGGTGGATCGTGTCCGCCGGTAGTTGCCGGTTGCTGGCGTTGCAGGTCAGCCATCTCCTTCTCGAGTTCCTCCTTGGCACGTTCGCGTTCCTCCTCGGCGTCCTCTTCCTCGGCGGCTGTCAGTTCCTGGGCGTTGGCCAAATTGTCAACGGCGATGGCCAAGAATACGTTTAGCAGGGTATAATTGCCGAACAGTACCAAGATAATAAAGTACAACGAATAGATCATGCCGCCCTTAATCCCGCCTTGACTCTGGATCCCTCTGTACATCACTTCATTCCAGTCTTCACCGGTCAAAATCTAAAAGGCAGAAACGTTTGCAAATAACAATACCAGTTTATTCAGGCTGAACTGTCCAACTATTATTAGCATAAGCTAAACGCGATTTGTAGTTTCAGAAAACGTTAGATTCGGTGAATAGGAACTGAACACTGATGCTGTTTCTAACAAGAGTGACGGAAAGCGAGTGATGATAAAAATTAGATATAGACCCAAGTCTTTTAATCCGTCGAGCAGGGTTATTTACATGCTTATCAAATAAACTAGGTATCGTCTCACACTTTGGGCAAACGATCCGTCTAAATCGTTCAAATGGATCCGAAGACTGACTTACTTGAAACACGGTGAGCAAAGCGATTGGAAACGTGTTAAAATTGGCAGGTGGGGTGCCGTCGGCGAAGTTGAAGACTCCACCGAACAGCTGCATGCCGAGCAAGGCAAAAATCAGTATGAACAAGAATAGCAGAAATAGCAGCGAGATAATGGATCGCATCGAGTTCAATAGCGATATGACCAGGTTACGAAGGGACGACCAATATTTTGTAAATTTGAATATTCGGAGCAGGCGCAAGGCGCGCAGCACAGAGAGACCGAATGATCCTTCTTTGAAGGACGACCAGATCACCTAACAAATCAAACGCAGTGTACTTGTGACTCGTTGTAAATATCAATCAATATAGGGGAAAAAAGCGAATTATCATATTTAAAAAAGGATTATCTTTCACAATCAAAGATAGGGCTAAGAATATAAAGAAAAATAAACGCATGTGTTTGCTAAGTGCATTTCCATGATTAGTAGCATTAGTACCTTACTAAGTTATTCCAATACGTTCTTTATGACAATGCCTGTCTCTCATAAGCAGTCATTGTGCTAAGCCAACAATTACCTCAAAAATGCTACCTGCAATGACCACGCAATCGAATCGGTTGAAGGACGACTCGAAATAAATGCGCGGTCCGAGCGCATACACCTTAATTAGCATTTCGAAAATAAATAAGCCCAAGAAGGCGAACTCGGCATAATATAGAAAGTCGGTCAGCCATTGTGGCTGCTTATGATGTTCTACGGCCACACAGGCGGTGTTGAGAAAGACGAGCACGATTACGATCCAATAGAACGTCTGTGTCTTCACGACGTGCCGGATCATGAAGCTGCAAGTGCCACCAAAGAATACTGTTATCAATATCCGTAGAAGTAGCAGTAGTATACAAGTAACTTCATTTATCAACACAAAGCCCAGAAGGTTGAACTTCAGGGAAAACATTCGTCTTGTCGCAAGAGAAACACGCAACTTCCAGCTGCGTTCATTCAACATGAAAACCTCAATATGACAATACCTCTATATTGGGATTACCAAATTGTATAAAATAAAAATCTTCCAACAGACCCAAAAGGTTATTTGTCACTGTTGTAAGCCTAGTGTTACTAAGCAGCTGATTACTCACCGGAAGCGTTTCTCAGCGCGCCAAAAAGCTTTGCAAGCTCCTTTGTTCTTCATCTTGGTTTTCAAGTAAGAAGCTCTTGCGAAACCTGCGGGAGAAATTACGATTAGTCGCCAGAAGCCTTGTCTCTACTCGATGGAAGATTTTAAAGCGCTAGCGTCGATTCAAAAACAGCGGCTGTTGGTGTTTACCTACATCTGATATTAAAAAGACAGGTAATGTACCGGAGTAATGCTTTGCACAAAACAACACCTGGACAGAACGCCGAGAAGTTCTATGCAGATTCATTAAATGTCACATAATTGAATCGATAAATTTTCTGGCATAGAAAAATCAGTTGCGGAACGCTCAAGTGCAGTGCAAGAACGCGTTACCTCATGGGGTATCTAGGACTAGAAAAAGCGTATTCAATTTGCTGAAAAAAAAAATAGGCTCAAAAGCTGTGCTAGCGTTCAGAGTCTAAACTTGCTAGCCTATAACGGAAAGAAAGATCATCCAGATAGAATCATGCCAGTGTCATTGAGTACTACATTAAAAAGCTGGTTGGATAATCATGCGGGCTGAAATAATTTGGGGACACCTGAACTTTATTGCACCTGCCAGACGGCGAACCCTTGGCCTCCTCCATATTAGGTAAGGGAAGCTTAGGGTCATCAACAGGCCCCTCTGCACCTTAGCAGTGATAAGTGTGAATTCTGGACAAGTGAGGAAATGCATTTGACACGATACTATACAATAAAGATAATCGTGTTGTCGAAAAAATATAGCTCTTTGTTGCTATTTTCCTCGTGTACTTCATTGCAGCTTTCCGATGAACGGTTAGATCTTCGAACACGGTCAGGGTCTTTATCGACACACCATGCCAGTGCGTATATGAATTTATTGCTATCGAATTATGAATCAGTCACGGTCGCATATTATGCGAGCGGAGCCGAACTACAGTTGAGGCAAAGGAATCGAACTCTACCTTGTTTACAACTCTAAGATACATATAGGTATGATAGGATTGCAATGGGTCAACTTGAAAAGCGAGTATTTGTTACTCGGCTGGCAAAAGCCTCACATTATGGGCAGAGGATATCCACAGTTGAATGAACATTCGAACACTGCTAAGGGCAGGAACCCTATAAAGCCAGCTATAAATATTCATCAGACCGTTAAAAAATACTTAATAAACGTTAATAATAACAACAACGTTAAAAATTAATAAGAGAATTTCTCAAAAAGCATCTACAATTAAGGCAATTCGCGTACTTATACTGAGTTAAATCGATAATATTTTGCTCATTTATGTGTTTCTAATTTTCAAACAATAAACTAATAAATCAAGCAGAGCTAAATGAAACGCTCTTGAAGAAGAGGTCATCTACCTTTTCTTCGATACAAAGTTTTTAAGGGTAGGTGTACAAACTCGGCGAACTGAAAGATTGTTACTACATAGTTAACAATTCGATTGCTGGAATGATTTTGGGCAAAAAACATAAACAGGTAATAAGCGTTTTTAAATAGCAAAGCCACCAATGCTTCGATCAAACCCCTTCAAAAAAGGCTATAGAGATCAAAGAGTCTACGTTGGGATTAAGCACAAATAATCACTCGTAGTTAGCTCGATTTCAATCTATGGGGTTTACGAAAGTGGTGAGATCTACGGCTGCGTGCTCGATACACCGTAGATCGGCCACAGCAGTACGCTAAATTATAGGCTTTTCGACTGTCTACGAAGGATTTTCATGTGGGGAGAAGTCTACGAATATAGGGAGTTGATGTAAAGATCTGATAAAGTGAAGAATAGATTTATAGAGGCCAAATTAATTACATTGTACGAGACTAAAGTACCTTTTAGCTTAACACCCTTCCTAGGAGTTAGATCTGTGGCGGACGCGCAGGATTTTTTCACAGGATAGCGCAGTGATATGAGATTACGTCGAGCGTAAATACACCCACACGTATGCGCGAACGCGAGAATATATAAGTGCCGCCAGCAGCAGCAGCAGCAGCAGTAGCAGCAGTAGTAGAAGTAGCAGTTGAAGTACGTTGTAGCAGATAAGTAAGTCGTCAATGGCGTGAGTGTGACGGCAGGGCATAAGGACGAGTATTGGTGGGTCGTGGACGATTGACGGTTGGATTGATGGTGGATGGCACGGGCAAGGGCGCACGTCCGCAGGACGAATGTAGTAGTGACGGTAATGCACGTTCGAATCGAACGAACGATTGAACCATAAGCCATTGTGGCGATAGTGGGTTAGTTGGCAGCATCGTGGTTTATTCGAAAATAGGTGTCGGTGAGTTTGAAGAAGGTTTCGGAGATGAACAGAGGTCGTGTCGAAGTTGTAGCAGTGGCAGCAGCAATTGTAGAAGTTGATAGTGGCGATGGCAGAGAAAAAGAAGAAGAAGATGATGATGGTGGTTGTAATGGTAACACAATAAAAGGAGAGAGAGATGAAGTGACAGAATGGGCAACGCCGGCGAAAGAAACGCGGTATAAGATTCATGAGGAAGAAAAATAAAGGAAATCAAGACAGTGAAAAACACAGAGTTTAGAGCAAAATTGAGCGGAAATATTGTTCGGCGATGATTGTGACATGAACTGAATTTGTTATAATTGGTGGCGAAACAACACAAATAGAAAAAGACAGGGCCGTGGACAGAAAATATAGATGAAGGGCCGATTAAAGGGCGCGATAGAAGAGGCAAAATGTCCATGTTTATTGCCGTTATCAATTTGTGGATACTGACCGAATGGAGCGACGAAGCCATATAACGTCAAGTTCATATTGACAGAATCATTGTAAGCAGATGGACCACGTATAGAATTGTTATCCGGCAATTTTTAAATAAACGTCGTGCAAGAAAAAAGCCAGCCGCAACAACAACAACAACAATAGGGCAATTAATTATTTTCATATGTTCAAAATAGATGTATATATTTTTTTGTACGATAATGCATGTGTGTACGTGTGTCACAGATAGAGAAGACCTGCATTGCCACAACGTTATAGAAAGGAACAACAATCACCCGCCAAAAATTTGAATTATGACGATATATAAGGCAAGTGGTCGTCGAACGAGGCAGTTTCGAAGGGTTTAAGACAAATCGGGGGAAAAAGAGCAGGAAAGAGAAATGGATAGCGGGCAAGGGAGGATAAAGATGCCGTTTGTTAGACTGAGCCGAAGATGAAGATCACAAAAAGTGTTTATACAGAAAGATACGCATACGCTATTGCCCCTAAAAGACCGATATAGTCTCATGATCTTGAGGCGAGTGTTATTTTATGATCACGGCTTTGGAAAACATCAATTTCAATAAAAAGTTAAAATGTATTTTCAGTTAGTATTATCAAGCAGTAACTTACGGCGCTTGGCAAGATCATGTGGTCTCTGGTCCGAACTCCCAATTATCTATAGCGCACTTCTGCCATGCCTGACAGAACCAAACTGGCTATCCGATTCATCGTTACCTTTGTATATCATATTCTTCGTTTCTCCCCCCCCCCCCCCCTTTTCTTTTTCCCTTAAAATATAGAATTGTAGATATTATTGATGCATTAGATATTGATAAATATTGATTCGGCAATACCATACTCTGTGTTTGCGTACAAATTAAATTTCAGTCTACCCTATCGCCCTAAGTAGAAAGCCGATCAAACACACTCACATACGTCGGCGTCTATCCCTATTCGTTACGTGGAAAATGGCATGTATCAATCTGTCTGTTACGGCAAAATCTGGGATTCTCAGTGACTTATTTAAATTCATTTCAGCATATGAATTGGCAAGAAGTTGAAGGATATACAAAGAGGCAGAGACAGAGAGGGGCGATAGTGAGCGGGATCCACAAAGCGAAGTCGGCGAGGAAGGATAGCGGAGCTGTATGGAACAATAACCAGTATTCAATATACATGTAGAGAGATTCGGTTAGTCGTTAGCGAGAACAATAAAAGGTCGATACATGATTGTGCAATTGGTATAAATGCTAGAGGGATTTATTATAAGAAGACATCGGTAGACGTTCGTTATTGTATACAACATCAACAATAGATGTTCGATATAAAATTTGCTACCGGCAGCGGTAGGACGGGAGAGAGGGACTAAGGCTATTATTCACTCGTAACATTCTTCGGTGTCTGAGTCTGCAATACATGTGAGTCGAAGTACGCATGAATGAGTCATGAAACGTGGGAAGTCAGGTAGCGCCAGTGACGAGGAGTGATATAGAGAGCACTCATCTACAAACTGTGTATGACACAGATCAATTGATTGATCGATAACAACGCAACGGCAGTCGACAGACTGTTATTCCGGTGATAAGATTTGGGCAAAAAGCTAAAAGCGGCCATTTTTCTAAGGATTGTACAATCGACTTATTTCTAAGCGACGTCATGTTTGCAGAGGTGCAACTATCTATAGATGCATATGTATATGGACGTACATGTTGGAGTAATACAACAACAGCGGAACGAGGAGCAACAGAAATAACCAATAACATGAAAATTAATCGCGCAAAAAGATTATGCAGAAAGATCACACTTACACGTATTGCGCAGTGACAACAGTTCGCGTAGCTCTCAGAAAACGCCAAACTATATGTAGAGATATTTTTTCATTTATATAAAGTAGTACATGATGAATATCAGTGGAGAAAGAGTTGGCGCGCGGTGGAAAAACGTCTATGAGAAGCTTTACACGGCTAAATCATATGATCGTCTAATGTTTGTGTACACACAGGTATGATATAAAATTTTTTTACATACACACAAGTTCATAAACAACAGTGCGCTGCGTATCATGGAGTAGGGTTAGTTGCTCATATTTAGAGAGCGGTCATATGAATAGGATGAAAAACGGTAGTGATCCAACCAGTTGATCTAACCCAGCATACAACATTAACGACAAATGATCGTCACGTCAATTTATCGTAGTTATACAACGCCTACATGTTAACACGTTACCTCCAGGTTCGGAATCTGCGGGTACCTCCGGGCGATTTTGACGCGTTGTTTGTTGTTAAGGGCAGCGTATGCAAAAAAAAAAAGAAAAAAACAGCAAGGAAAAATATTAAAGCCAAAAGCAAAAGTCATCTTTGCCTTGACAAATTTGAGCGTTTGTAAAGCTTAATAACTTCCACCTGCCTGTGTTTCAGCGTGACTTTCTTTAGCGGTTTCCACTTGTAGCGTAATTGTATAGCATCAACTATTTAGTAGAGGTGGAGAAAATGAAGGAGTCTGGTAGGTATTCAGGTGGGCTTATTTCGTCATCACCAAAATAGCTTGGCCAAATCGTTTATGCCCCGTTAACTTAACGAAGCCAACGTGCTGGTCTATAACTGAGTAGTGCAAACGTGCATCGAGTCAAGCGGCACAGTAGAAATCCCCTGATGGTTCTATTGGGGGTTGTAAAAAACTATGCAGTCACCATTTAAACATGTAGAAAGAAAGATACGTGCACGTTGCACGTTTTGGCTCGCGTACAAAAGAGACTACGACAAATACGGGAGTAACAGAATTATAATGCGCTGAAAAGTAAAGCTTGAGTTTAGCTGCGAAAAACAGGCGCCAACTTGGGCCGATTGCGCTTTCACCTAAAACAGCTTAGTCATAAATTGGCGGGAGCTAGCCAACTGTTACAATTCAGTATAAGTCTCCTAGAAGAAAAAAAGGATAAGGACAAGAGCGGGCCTTTGAAAACGTACCTTCGTCCTCCGCGTCTTCTTCGTCATCTTCTTCTTCGTCAGTTGACTTGCTATGCATACTTTTCAACTTCTTACGCTTGGCGGCTGCTCTGCGACGGGCTACGTGGGAGATATGCATGCAGGCAAGATTATTAACACTTTCATGAATCTTCTTTCGCCTCCTTTGAATATAGGTGGCATCGTTGATTATCTCAGACGCTATCAGAAACGTTTGAACGCAATATTAATTATGAATATCAATTGGTAGGAGAGCAAAGGAAAGATATAAGACGATATAGAAGAGCTTACCTTCTAAGATATGCATTCTTTCTTCCTCAGTGGTTCGTTCCTCGGCCAGTATAACCTCCTCTGTAATTAGGGAAACATTTTTAATTCATCTTATCTGTATGCATATCTAAAAAGAGAGGCTACGTAAACCAAATGTACTTAACTGTCCGATATTTCCAGCTATCAGATATTACTTACATGGTCAGTACGCTATCGAAACTTCAACATCAACTCAGACAATACGAACCGGCCTTACAAATCCATTCCACATAACCGTTAAGTTCCCTCTCTAGTTGCTGCTGCCGGCGTATCTTGAGAAAGGCTTGACGGTTTTCGACCCTCTCTCTTTCCTTGGCGAACTCCCCACTGAGTACTCCGAGAACCAGGTTGAGCATGAAGAACGATCCTAATATAATGAGTGGCACAAAGTAGATCCAGTTGAAGGCATTGCCCATTGCATCGTTTGTCCAATAGAGCATTTGTGTCCATCCTGAGAAACAATGCGGAAGACAACTCCTGTTAAGTGCAAATCGAGCTTTATATTTAGTAAACATTATTGTACTCCGCCGACTTATCTATCGGATTCAGAAAATAATATCAAACGTTTTGAATTTGTGTATCGCTAATTTATTTCGTATCTATGAAATTCCTTAAATTCTCTCTACCTTATATTATTAGTAGCATGCCCGCGAGTTTTTTAACTACTTGATTTAGAGATTTACGTATAAAAAAACTGATTTTACGTCAGAGACCATACGTACATGGTAATTGGTTAAATCTTCGGCAGGCCCCTGCCATAACGGCATATCTTCATCGTTAGATTATTACATCATACTTTTATAAATGCACACACATATATTTTTACAGTACTACATGGAATTTCGTGCAGCAACGTATGCATTTCATGATGGATTACGTGATGTAACGAGATTTTCTCTTACGTATATTGGTATATATATATATATATATATACGCTTACGTATATTGGTTACCGTCGGAAACATCTCGTACTTATTTACCTCCATCTTTTTAATTGCCTATATTACCATGCTTCACACAGACTCTACAGAGAATGTCTGTGCGTGCCTCAATTTCACTGAACATGCTTTCAGTAAGTCCTTTTTTCATATCGTAGGCCAGAAACCTTTACATGGACCCGAGAAGCAGATTTCGAATCCCGCTTGTGCCTGTTTTTCTTAAACACGTCAAGCTTCTCGCGCCTTGCCTCTGTATACATAACTTCATTTTGCCATCTGTTATTGACATGATATGGGTCGTCTTTTGGCGCTGCTAAGTTCACGCCAAGCAGTTCTATCGGCCATCTTGTCCTAAACCGACATGGCCGGGTATTCATTGAAGGCATACCTTGGGCTTCACGAGCTTGGAGCATCTCAGAATTGTCTGAACAAGACGCATAGTGTCATTTGAGAAACTGGCTGCAGATACAGCCTCTGGGACGATTTTGGGGTCACTGAAAATTATGACATCTTCAAACCATTTTACAGTAGTTTTATCAGCCCTGCTTTTATTTGGATCTAATGCGCCCGATAGATTTTTTAGATTCAATACTCATTGCTTCTTTTTGCCCGCTTCCAGTTACCGCTAACATAAATAGTTAGGTGCAAGTTCGACACAAATTTTTAATAAAGCTTTTTCTGGGCTGTCTGAGTACTCTATAACTTTATTTCCCTTTGCTTGATAGTTTGTATGATTTTTCAATAGCCCGTATCGTAAGAACATTCATCGTAGTTTTTCTACTTACGTCAGCACCTCGGCACGTCTGCCAGTCATGCAGGGAGCACCTCTGCCTGTTTTCACCGTTGCCCCCTCACATGCAGTTTTTACGAAAATAATTAACCATAGATTTGGCCTGTGAAGACCAAACGAAGACACCGTCTCTTACTAGCCCTTTTCACAGTTATCCCAGACAATAGCTTGAGCGATATGCCACCTGCCTCTTTCCACCCTCAGATAAACGAATCACTAACGGTGGTCAAGCAGAACTCAATTTCTGACGCTCCTATGTTAAATAGACTCAACTATACCATTTGTGGTGTACTTCGTCATAAATGTCAACGTATTATTGCTTACAACTACCATAAACTTTGGATCTCCTAGCGTTTTTGATGAGACTATCCCCTGACCAACTGCTGTTCGCGTAGCTTTCCTTTTTTTCGGTGTGCATATTACCAATTAGTATATGAATGGTTCGCTCTATTCGGTATCGTCATTAAGAAATTTCAGTGTTTAATAAGACATAAACGGAGATTATGCAAAGGATCCACTTTTAATGAAATGACAGATTATTCTTTTCATACTTATAAGAGATTCTATAAAAAAATATGTCTTTTCATTTTTCAAAAACTTAATTTCAAAACATACAAGCTATGATAAGCGAAACCAGAGCACTAGCTAAAAAATAAAATAAAATAAAATAAAAATACCTACCTTCCATGGTAATACATTGAAATACAGTCAACATAGCAAAGAATATGTTGTCAAAGGACGTGATTCCGTAGTTAGGACCATTCCAGCCTTCTTTGCAGAACGAACTGCTATTGTCACATTTGAATGCACCATTTGGTACGTTGGAAGCTACCGTATAGGCGTAGCACGGTGTTTCCTGATCCCCTTCAGGAACAATCTCACCTACGGTAATAAAAGGAAAATACTAATAACAGATAACATTGAATGATGACTAGTTGATTGACTCTTACTACCTATTGTATGTTCGAACTGAGAATCGAGCGATCGAACAGCAAAAACGTACTGCTGCCTCTATAGGAAACGAAATCATAATTCTAATACGCTCAACCATCGTTTCGTTTCTGGGTGCAACAGTGAGCCTGAGCAATGTCCACAGACAGGCCTATGGATAGACATCAACTATTCATTCATTTCGTAAGCCTATTATTATTAATTGATGTCATGATGACCTCATTTGTTGTCTCTTTAGGTAGGTAGGCATTTGTCCAGCTTCACCTGGTAATCCTTTTTAAAATGGAGGAGGCGTATAGTAATAGGATAATTGCTGTCTTTTTTTTTGTTGCTTTTAATTAGATTTCTACTCATTGACCGTTCATACATACCCGGATCTTCAAGGCTGTAACAGGTTTTATGAAGTGCACCACTGTAGAACTCCAGACCGATTATGGCGAAGATGACAATGGCGAATAGCACCAACAATCCGATCTGGAGGAGTGGCGCCATCGCCTTGATGATCGACTTCAAGACGACTTGTAGACCTGAAGCCGCAAGTAAATTAGCGACAGAATTCGCCGCAGGATTTTAGCTATTTGTGGGAATTTCGGAAAAGTTTTTGGGAATGCGCGCTCGTATCATGTAGTTGTCTGTTACAAAGTTCAGGAAGACGACCATGCTGCCGTTCTTTTTATTCTACATATTCGTTAGCAGTTCTCGTTCATGTCGGTCATAGCATCGTTGCTTGATTCCATCATTTCATTTGTTCTTGCTACTGCTACTACTACTACTACTACTACCATCGATTCAGCGAAGCCTTGACAAGTTTATATGTACAAATTAAGCTAAACAAAGAAACATTGTTTACTTTGCATGATCCATAGCTAGAGAAGAAGTAAAACATGCAAACTAACTTGGAGGCCACTTGCGAAACTACTCGGAAAGCGCAGCGCGAGGGATCTCCAAATATCATATATATATATATATACAGTGAAAAAGAAAAAAAGTCACCGTCAAGATCCGAAGGCTCTTGAGGGTGATAGTGAAAGTCCGTAAGGGACTTACTTGGTATCCCCGACACTAGTTTCAAGGGCCGAAGAACCCTGATCGCCCGTAGCGTTCTCAAATCTAAGTCTAAGTTGTCCGGTATAATATACGTTACAAACCTGCAAATGAATATAAATTATGCAGCCAGACTATCACCACACATCGCATAGTCCTCCTCACACACGCTTCAGGAGTCGCTGTCCAATTTTATCGGCATAATTAAATAAACGTACGCAATTAACTATGTTAGCGAGCCAATTATATGAAAATCTGTTATAATTTTATAATTAGCTTCTCAGACTATTGTAATTGATGGCACCATTTTCAATTTTGTTCGTTTTATTTTTCTGGTAAATGCGGGAAATGCGCAATAATACGAAAAAGGTCGTTCGATTGCTAAATCGTAAGTCAGGTCGTAAATTATTTACGCTTGATATGCGACTCCGTAGGCGTACGTGAGGATCAAACGTTGCTCAGTCAATCAATCAGTCCATCAGTCATCAATCAATGGTTCAGATCAGATCTAGGCCCCTACGGGCGAGGCTAGGGCTAAAGCGCCTGGATAGGCGGCGTGCCATCCCGCGCCACCTAGCATGGCGTATCTACTCATCATAGCTTGCAGCACGGTTTTTCATCATCTCATCATTAATCATGTCATCTCACTATCATGTCACTATTATGGGTCCGTGACAGGCCAGACCTCTTATATTACCAGTTGCCAGTCGCAGTCCATTTCAGCATCAGTTCACCATCTATCATCATCATCATCATGTCATAATCACCATGTCATCACCAGCCAGTCAAATATTTGGCGCTTAAATTCAAATTAACGAACGAACCAGTCCCGACTCATCCGATCAATCAATCAGTCACCCATTCAATCAACCAATCAGTCAGTTAATCAACAGATCAAATAACCTCAGTCTGCATCGCAATGGGGAGAGCATCATCATCATCATAACCGATCAGTGTGTATGTGTGACAGTTTTGGGCTTGCACCAAAATGGGCATCGATCATCACCAGTCATCAATCATATCAACAACAGCCTTATTATCAATTCAACCCATCTCATTTCATCTCCTTATCATGGTCAATCATCCGAGAAGGGAGGTACGAGCGGTACCACTAGCATCGTACCGAACCGACCATCGCAAAGGCACGGAGGCACGGGCGAAAGATGCGGACATTCCACGATCGGGTGTGGTCACCAGACGATCTTCGGTGACCTTCGGGGAATTGGAAACGAACGGTGGCATTCGAAACGGTTCGAAAGAAACGGTTTGAACGGAACGAAACTTGGAATTCGGACCAAAAATCAAAATGAGAACCATAGAGTTTCTCAGGGGAGAGAATGCGCGCGGGACATTCGAAATAGAGAGTGAAAGAGAGAGAGAGAGGGGGAGAGAGACTTTTGACACCGCCGAACGACACAACGATCGGAAGCGGGCGCTTACTTGGCGTACGTGAGACCAGTTTGAGGGGCCGAAGCACTCTGAACGAACGCAACATCCGAAGATCTAAATCCGCACTTTCCGCAACGCAAACACTAAACAGACTGAAAATGTGAGACACATATTACACAGATGAGACAGTTACACATTAAGGGTTCGGTTTGATTTTCTTCTCTGTGTATTTGGTCGGTTTGCCTTTTCTTTTTTTTTTTTTTTAAATTTATTTTTCTTTGTAGTTGCTGTTGCGCTTGTCGTTGGTGTTTATTATTGTCTTTTTGGTGTCGCATGTACAAGGCCATTCGAAACGAGATGATGGTCAAGAACAAAAGAACGCGAAGGGCAAATAAATGACGCAACAGGAAGAGGGTTCCGTAAAACTTGCTCTCAACTGAGTAGCTGCTTCTTTTTTTTATCTGTCTGCTCACGATAAGATGGAGGTAATCTTAATATGTCCAATGGATGCGGTAAGAAGGAAGTACGATCAATCCAGGAAATTTAAACTCTAATGTGGCGGACACCCACAATGGAGACGGCGAAACGTGGGCAACCAGTGGTAAACAATAGTTGACCCGGCGGGAATTTCAAAAAAATTGAAAGTTTAACTATGAAAATCATTGCAATATATAATAGTATATTGAAATGACAAGCCAAGGGAGGCTAAAAAATCTATCATTGCATATCCACTACTGCATGTACCACAGGATACCGTGTGGCTACTGGGTGCCTACATGGAACCAGTAAGTAATAAGCCAGAGAACAAAGTGAACAAAAAAGTTCCTTCGACTGCTGCAAGAACCTGCTGCTGCGTTCCAATAGGTAGCAAGAGGTTGTTTCTGGTTGAATAAGAAACATGCTTGTATAAAAATAACTTACCCCGTAACAACAACAACGAAGTCCATCATATTCCAAACGTTTCGTAGGTACGCTCCGCTGTGCAGTATAAATCCTAACGCTAAAATCTTCAGTAACGCTTCAACACAGAAAATTCCTAAAAAGTACGGCTCTGTTTTTTCCTGTAAGTCATTAAAGATGAGACATACACGTCAGCTTTTTTTAATTACGGTACGTATGGGACCGATTATTGGATCTATGAAGATAGAAACTATTTGTTTAAAAGAATTAAAAAGAAATTCATCTGAACCTTTGTCGGTCAAACTATTCTATTTTGCTGGAATGATTAACTCGTACCTTTTACCTACCTCGACCCGAACCGACATATAAATCACCTTCGATGATACAAACGCAAAATCGCAGCACCATTGAAAAACATAAGATATTACATACTCAAGTTGGTATCGTAAAAAGTAAGTGATTTGATTGTTAGACATATATGAAACGGTTATATCTACTATGGGTGGCCATTATATCAACCGTGCCATGTAAAGGCCAAGGGGTATTAACGATTAGTGACTCACTAGTTTCTGAGCAAGTGGCGTTCGGTCTCCCTTAGGCAGATGTTCTTCGAGGGCGAGAACTACACAATTAGCAATAATAGTCAACAGCACAGCGTATTCGAAGGGCGGCCATTCGATGATAAAGCGGGTATACCGTCGCAGGGGATTGTCCTCCGAGAGCAAGAACAGCGCGGACGGGCCGCGCTGTCCCGGTTCCTGGTAGCCCCCCTTACGGCTGCGCGCCATACCGAACTGACTTACACCTGAGAAAAACAGCGTACGATTATAGCCGTACAAAATCATGCCAACAGCGAATTATGTTATTACCACCTATAAACGTACAATAATCGCAAATCGTACAAATTAAGTATAATGGCTTGAGTTTCTAGAAGGTGCAAAGGGTCCTCTAACGACTTAAATGAAGCTTGTTGTAATGTTTTTAAAGGCACTTTGTTATGCTTTTTCTTGCCACAGTGGTACAAAGCAACGTACAACTCAGGCTGGATCATAAAAACATATAACAGTTAAGTAGGATTAGCCGATGTACGAGGTAGTATAGGTTCGAAACCGGGGGTAACTACGTGTAGACTCGTGCTAAGGGTCCGCGGTCAGCGGGTGTACTGAAAGTAAAACTTGAGGTATTTATTTTTTTAATATACCAACAGAAAAAAAATATGTTTAAAACGTTGTTACTTTTCTTAAAGATACAGTCGACTACAGTGGAGTCATTGGTTGAGCTTCCGTAAACGGGGTTGTATTCGATCACAGGATTGAAAACTCTGCGATATGAATAGATGATATAAAATAATACTAAAATGTCTGTTATCATATCATATCCACTGTAGCCGACGCTATCAATTGTACGTTCGCCGATACGATGAAAACTTTATTGTATGATCGCTTACAAAGAAAATTCGAGGTACCTCGAGGAAGCAAAGGACAAGTTTCATCAATATCCACCCTCATGCTTCCTTTAACACTGTTTTTCTGATATTGAAATATATAGAATAATAGTGTCCGGCAAGTTGGCGACTATACCTATGCATTTTATGTAAAAAAAAGTTAACGTGTTATATTGCCTTATGGATAGCACACTAGAAAAATGCTACCCGTAATCGCTATTTACAGTCTAACCGTCAGGATTTACCTCATAGACATTGGCATAGCTAACAATTAAGATTAACAGATTAAGCGGTTCAACGTTTTGCCGGATTTCAAAAGTCACCCCAAGAATCACTTGGGAACTTACGGTGCTGACTCCTTTTCTAGATGTAATTGATAACTGTTCAAGTTGGTCAAGGAGTCGTGTGAAAGCTAACCTAAAAAAATCGCCAGAAACACGAATCAGCCATACGAAATCAGTAAGACAGTACTTGGACATTGGAGTCATGTGGTGCTTTGCGGAGTAGATAGTACGCCTCTTAAAAGCAACTCAATATTGATCAAAGAAAATCTACGAATAAAAACGGGACGAAAAATATTCGGATATTTGCCAAACGTTTCGCCATAGGCGTGGGAGTCTGCCGATACCTGCGGGTCATCGCGTACAATCCTAATGAAGCATCGAAGCTGATTTTACGCCATTGTCTAGGTACGCAACTATAGCGTCTTGCAAACTACTTCGTTTACCTATGTGTTCTCCTGCAGCTAGTTGCGTTGCTTATGAGATGCTTTAGGCGAACAAGATTACGTGTTTTGAAATAGTGGTTCGCTTTCACGACAGTTTACATTTGTTATTCAGCGCTATTTTTTTAGAATAATCGATCGGCTGTAGCAGCCTTTCAACTCACACATTTAACATGCCGTCCGCTAAAATGGGGACCTTCAAAATCAAACGTTATAATATTATCGTTTCCAGTAATAGACAAAATTAGTCAGAAAAGCCACCTGTACTCTTTTAGAATATATGCCTTGACCATAAGCGTCGGGTAACGATTTCGTAGTCGGCGGGCGAGCACGGCTTATTTAGAGGACAAGTCGATTTGATAAATTGATGGTGTAACATTTAATACCATGGTATAAAGTTTAAGCTAAACAGCCTTAGGTATCTCCATGCTGCTAAGTAGCCATAAAAAAGACCTAATTTTATGATCGTCAGGAGGGCGTCTAGAATCGACAGCAAACCTTCCGCATGCTTGTTCCAAAGGGTTGTCTTCTGCGTCAACGCTGAACCCGCGCATGGTTACAGGATTTCAAGTAAAAAAAAGAAACAATTCCAACACGATTAGTCGACAGAGCCCGCTAATGGGCAGCATACCCATATTTTCTACTTTAGCGTGTTATGCAGACTAGTACCTGCTGATATACGGCACATCCTGGCTAAATGATAGCGTTCCGAAAAATACATCTTTCTGGAGCTATAAGAATACAAAACGTGCGGATAAATGTGTCGTTCTAAGATAATGTTGCGTCTACGTGGCCGTTATAGTAGTTCATTTGTGAGACAAGCGTGAAATGCACAGCCTGAGAGGTATCTTTTCCTTTCCAGATAGCGTTGTATCTGATCTTTTTTCTAGTGGGAACAGTGGGAAATGGACGACAGTGATGGCAACAATTGTGATCCCGAGGGATAAAACTGAACTTTAATTGGAATTTCGAGTAATAAGGGAAGGATTCGCTACGGTGCCTAAGTTTTTTGTTGTCTATAAGTGCTGCAAGTGCTTAAGGAAATAAAGAAGATAGCTTTCGTTACTCATCAGCAATGGGTCAGTCTTCTTTGCACCGACAAGTCGGGGATTATTGGCTTAAGTCCAACCGTTCGTATATATCTGGGTCGTTGGTAACGCGAAGCGGGGAAGATAAGGTAAAATTACTTGTTTGTCACGCTCCAAGATACTATGTTTAATATCAGCTACTTAAAATCGTAGAAAAATAATACTGGCATAAAAAGTAACAACTCGCAACCTCAAAGCATATGTATTAGCCAGACTTTTCTCGTTTTCCTACTTAAACTGTATGTGCCGCGTGCAATTACAGATCTATGTATGTCGCGCTTCAACTCGCTAGGTAGCTCTTAAGTTTCCATGCATGAAACCCTGAAATCTTCCGTGAAACGACCCACCTTTAGTAAACACTAAAGACAATCAACTGAAGTTGCGGTAGGCGATCGTCAAATGGCAAATCGTGACTACGTCTATTGTTTATTATTTCTAACAATTAGTATTGCTCAAATCGAAAGTCTTCCTTTTTCTCTTTTTTCTCACATTGTTTATATGTTACAGACCGTACACGGATGTTATCGCACTTGAATGAGCACGTTATGCGTTTACTTAAAGCGCGTTCGGCTGGATAACTGGCCCCAACCATTGTAAGTAAGCAGTTGCTTTGAAAACATATTAGGAATATTTAGCTATTGATGCTAACGAAATATAACTAGCTGACAGGTTTGTCAAGAACTGCATTTGAACAAAGGCCGTACGGCATAGGCGAACATCTACATAAAAGTGCTACGCTTTTCTGGACCAGTGGAAAAAAAAAGCTGGATATTCATTTTCCAGCTGCCGCGAGATTCCAAATGAGAACTGAATGATCCCTGTCAGGTATTCAAATGTGAAGTCTGAGCAAAATTTCAAGCGAGATATAGCGATAGCGCATTATGGTCACTATACGGTAACTTCGGAACGCGGCTGTCTTTGCAGTCATTTGTATGACAGTCACTTAGTAGAAGTCACCATTTTTTGTCCCCACTTAGCTTTGAGTATCGTGTACATTTGTCAAAAAAAAAGTATTTCTTTTTTCGACGAAAAACGCAGAGATGGAGATTGACTCTATTATAGAACAAATCTAATTTTCACATTCAGTATCAATCAAAAAAAATTTTCATGGCTATCTAACTTTTTACTAGGTTTATAAAAACGCTAGGCTCAATTTCGAATTTCAATAAAATGATCACCCTTGGACCTAACCTCTTCTACTCGCCCGAATATCTTATGCACCTACCACACAGATAGCGTATGGCATACCAAACAATACAAAGCTATATTCAAACCACGGATAGATACGCGAATACTGAGAGCTAATCCTTGTCCTGACTGCGGTTTCGCTGTACAATTTCGGTTTGCGTATCAATAATCGTAGCTGTTTTCATCATATTTGCAATACAGTCGCTATTACTCAGAAAATTCTTCTGAGTAATAACATTTAACATTTTTGACTATAAAGGTAGAGGAATCTATAAACTAGCATTTGAAGCAAGTCGGCGTTTGAGCGGCTCGATAGCGATCCTTGATCTACCGAAAACTAATTCCGGCATTGTACTTAAGCACCAGTAACCTTTCGTCCTGATACTCATATTTTACACACACATATATCGGTTTCCTGGAATACGAGTTGCTCATCGTCGTGATCACTTACCGACCGTTCCGAAGCTAGCAGACGATTCGGAAGATCGCGCAGCGTATCGGCTGTGCCGCTCTCCAGCGCCGCTTATCGCTTCTGCCGAGAGTGCTGATAATCTGCAAGTGAGAAATCAATCGTTCACAAACAGTAAGCTACAGGAAGAGGGAGAACGTGCGTGATATTAACAGAGCTAACAATACAACAAGTGACTTTTCTGTTTCTTTTTCACTGTCGCACGCCCCCTCCACTTCTACAGCATTCTGTCAGAGCGTACCGCACGCACTCTGTTCGCGCATTCGCACTCATCGCCGATATGCATGTAGATAGATGCACACACTCCCCACACATAGAGACTATATAGGATAACTGTTTGTATAATATGATATGAAACACAAGTCAGGAAATGCTCGCACTGACTTAATAGACGAACACCAGCGCCAATGAACGCCTATGGGGCCCTGTTGCTGCTGCTAGGGAAAACGCCTGTGTGCGTTTTTCGCATGACCTTAACAATACTGCCCTCGCCAATTATTTCGCATCGGAAACGAGAGGTTATTGCGATCCCTGGCGTTGCAGTCAGTGTGAGCATGCGGCGGATAGAAGGCGGATGAGTGCGCTGATCGTTCCAGCTTCTCTGCTGCCTCAGAATACGTTGCTAAAATAAGGATGCTCGTAAATCTAGATGCTACCGCTATAGCTCTTTTAATGGTAGTTCGTGGTCAGAAACAGGCAGGAATAACAGGAAATGCAACACCGACTGGGAAATTAGCCCCGCTGAGACCTTGCGGTGAGCATTGCCCATTACCGTCGCTTTGGGCGAGGCACTCGCAGCAGCAACAACAGGCAATGCTCAAACACGAAGCGCAGCTTCTAGACAGCGAGCTACGTACTGTAGGTTCGTGAAGCGCTGTGATAGTTGGGGCTGCAGTCCCGGTACCATCAGAGTCCCGAGTTCGGTTTTCCCCCAAGAGTGGTATCGTAGCCCGAGAACTGCCCAACCAAGCATTACTCGCTTGTCATCGAGCACAGCGATCCTTTGGCGGTATATCTTTCAAAGCTGCTCCTGACAATGAACGTCCCAACAATTAGTACTTTCTATTCTTTCTCTTCATCTCACCCTGACGTGCTGTTTATCACACACCTTTCTTTTCTTCGTTTGTAGCCACAACTAGTCCACCTCAATACCGTCACGGGTCGTCACTAATCTGGCCGTTATCACCATTATAACCAAAGCCAGGGCATGGTGTAAGTGCACCACAGGGTATCCGACATCTGGAACCTGGGGACTGAACCTTAATGCAGAGCTGAGCCATCTATGATGAGATTTATAGTGTTGTGAAGCCAGCTAGCAGCTATCGTTATGTTGTGGGTTGTACAGCGTGCATATCTGATATATACTATTAGTATGTGATATTTATCCAAACGCCGACAACCGTGTGTTTACCGGTTGCATGCACTCAAAACACTCAGCACTGCGTCCATCGTTGACACTCAACTAAGCTTGATACTGGCTGCTTCAAAGCGGCCATCCCGTAGCGGAGCCTACTCCCTTAAAGGCAAGATAGTACCGCTACGTCTCAGAGCTGGTGACTGCGTCTGATGTCTGTGGACAAAATAGCTATATCAAACGGGATGGCCAGTAACGACTGGAGCGGGGATCGCGATAGTCACGAAGCAGTCTACGCTGCCTGTAGGTGGCAATTGCGGGGTGACACGAAGAACCAGTCTGTCAGGAACGGAAACGAATGTTGAAGCTGGGTCCGGTGGATGGAACACCGTAAGGTTGTAAATAGTAGGATTTAGATTTCATGCTTAATATTCTGTCTGGGCCTACTGAACTGCTTTGATGCCTCGTTGGTTACAACCAGGCTAACAGTTAGCGGTTGACTGAGGATCGAGTCGATGCCCACTGCCTCGGTCACCGAAAAGAGCCCACCTTTTCTTCATGATGTCGCCAAGAAACTGACGTTATTTGTGTGGTGAACTAAGTCAACTCCGGCACGCTCTTTCGCCAGCAACCGGCACTGTTACGGCCTATGGCGGCCTAAGCTGGTCGCAACTGCTATCAAAGCAATCCTACCCTTATTACTGTTTATACGGCTACTGCAGATACAAGAAATGTCAATGTTCACCAGGCCAACATTTGTTGGGCGAATGGGCTTGTTGAGATCCTTAGTAAACTACGGCACGACTTGGTCTGGGGGCAACGGGCCCTACTCGCCCTCGATAAAGTGGGGTCATCGAGTTGTCGGAGGCGAAGGACTGAAGCAGGACGGCTTAAAAGCCTGCCGGTCTTTCTGTTAGCGATTTATGGGTATATGTTGAGTGGGTGTTGGTGTGAGTACTGAAGCGTGGACCTGTTGGCGCTTACTTGCTTGAATTGCATTCGGTTGAGCGTATTTTTAAGCAGGGGCCCCAAATCCGCAAGTCGGGGCTGGTGTGCAACGCTCGATGAATGAATTAGGACGTTTAGATAGCATTAATACACTATCGGCGGGCTTCATCCTGCGCTTATTTTGATATTAAGCACAGTTTACCTATATAGAAGTACTCTTAAATAGCAGTTATTCATGCAATACAAATCAGGTACACTTGTTCACGCAACTCGGTTTTAATAGGAATATACATTTGTTCATTTGACAAAATATCGACGATGACCACAATGATGACCGGCGAAATTTTTTTAAGTGGTTCTGTAGTGTTGTTTTAAAATGCGAAAAGAGAGCGAAAAAGAGCAATTAAACTTAACACAACGGTCTATGGGGGAAAGCTGCCTTTTCCGAGAAGCAGAACTATTTAGTCAGTTGGCTCTATCATGCGCGCAGACCTTTTTAGGGTAAAACTTTAACGACCCACAGCCGGATCTGATCTTCTTTGGGCCCCACAGACGCAAACTTCTAGTAGAATATATATATGTATAGGTTAAAGCAATGTGACGCGACCGTTCTTATATCTCAAAATAGCAAGAAGCGCCATTTTTGGTGCTCTCCTGAGTTTAATCTAACTTTCTGCCCTCCTCTCTTCTCTCTCTCTCTCTTTCTATCGTTCCCTGTCGCTGTTCGTTCTTCTGTCTGCGTTGCTCCCCTAGAACCCCTCCACCTGAGACGGTTCGAGTAGAGAAACTGAAACGGGCAAAGGCTGGTGGAGAGAGGCGAAACAAGGGCATTCGGTAGAGTGCGTGATCTCATAGCCGGTCAGACCAACAACTGGCGAACGTGGTATCAACAGCACAAAACGAATGAACGAAGCAAAGGACAACCAAGCGCCGCTGGTTGTTAATGCCTAAGTAGCATGATAAACGGCGCCGTCAGCCGATTGGGAGGTTCCTTACCTCAGCGCTCACCCCCTTCCCTGCGCTCCTTTAACAAACAGACTTGCGTACGCTGCCCGGCGGCAGATTTTAGCCGGTACGGTTACGTTGATGCGTTGCCTTTGGTTGCAAATGCCGTCGTTGAGGTCGACAATGTCACCGAGCCAACCGGCAGTGGCGATAGATCGCATCCATGACGAGACGAAGCTAATAGCCACAATGAGAAACGGGGCAAGGGGAGCCATCGATTGGACACACTTATAAGACTTTACCGGCGCCGCTTCTACCGCTGCAATCGCCAGGACATATCGTATAGTGTGTAAGTGAAAGCTAGCAAGCGTGAGCGCCCGAATGGCCCCTGGGATTGTCACGTAAAAGGAGCCCAACAAGGGACTCCTCGGATTTGGACAGAAGGTAAGGACAGTCTGCTGGCGCTACAGATAGAGTACGCTCACTCGCTCATAGCATCGTTTACTTAAATCGGCTCGTGAGCATCGTCTTCTTATCTATCTGTCCACTCATAAGGCCTGACTCATTTTGCTTTCTGCTATTAGTATTATTATTTACTGGCGGTCCGGTCTCTACGGACGCGTTCATCTGTGTCTGTGCGTGTCAGCATCGGCGTCAACATAAGGTGGCACATATGGACGTTGATGCTAAGGAAAGCAAAGATTTGGCTTATCCAACAACAAAAATTTCTGTCTACTATGGAAATCATGTAAGAGTAATCATATATACATATATGCACATATGATGATAATCGTAAGACCTAATAGATAGAACAGGTCTAACAAAATAAGCACAACTTTACCATCCTATCCCTTTTCGTTAACACAGCCATATATATATATATATATATATATATATATAGTAATCGCGCCGCTAGGGTATTAGCGACAACATGCAACGGGATAGAAGCCGGATGTGCAATAGACCAATAATAATAAAAAAAAAAAAAAAAAAACTGCGTATTTCATATGCCACGCACGTCCGTAATAATAAAGGGGACGTTTTGATCATATTATAAGCTTGAAATGCATAGCTCAGGTGTAGAAGCGCAATTGGCATTCTACTGATCCGCGATGAACCACTTAGAAATCGGAGGGATTTCCCCTTGGGCAACAGACCATACCAGTATGTACCTCGTAAGTGCGTAGGCATGAACGATTTCGCCTCTACATCCCTCGGACGTATATCTGCTAGATTCAAAGTTCTCGGCCCAATACAAGGCAGCGGAGCAGTGGACCCAACCAGACGCACGCCAGGAACTGATCGATCCAGATACTATGCTTTCGCAGAGAGCGTGGGGCGGTGCTAGGCGAAACGATGGAGGCTATTGTAAAGGATCAATTATGACTAGCCCTGTCTCAATGTTCATTGTACTCGATTATTCGTGCTTGGTTACAGTTTGCTTTCAATTAGAACAGCTTTTCCTATTTTGTATGGAATGGTCAGGGTCTGCTAGAGTTCCCACATGGAAAGTGACCCAACGGTTACAACGACTGATTAGCGATCTAGACTAAGCTGGATTGCAGTACGTCTACGTTTACATTCATCCTGATAGCATCCTATTGTATTGAAAAGAACAATTATTGAAAGTTCATATTCACTAATAATACGCTAGGTGAGTGACCTATGTTACGGGCAGTCAATCCTCAGCAATCAATGATCCATTTCACTGTCACCTCCATAACGCACTCTAGCCAACCAGCGACACCAATTGCAGTCCTATAGAAAAGACGTGTTCCTTGATTATGTAAATAGAGATGCATTTCAATTCAATATTATACTAATCATTCTAAGCAT